TCCCCACCCCCCTCATCAGCCCTGCTCTGTGCCTGATGGGGGGGAGCTCCCCAACCCCCTGATTGCCCTGCAGCTCTGTGTGTGACAGCGTGTGGTGCCCCAACCCCCTTATTGGTCCGGCTCTCTGTATGACAGGGTGCGGCGGCCCAACCCCCCATCCCCCAACGGGCCCTGCTCTGTGTGTGATGGGGTAGAGCCATAACCTCCCCATCTGCCCTTCCCTGAGTGTGACAGTGACGGCGCCCCAACCCCCTGATCGGCCCTTCTCTGAGCCCGACCAGGGGCTGCACCTAGGGATTGTGGTCTGCCCTCTGCCACCTGGGAGCAGGCCTAAGCCAGCAGGTCGTTATCTCCCAAGGGGTCCCAGACTGCGAGAGGGCACAGGCCGGGCTGAGGGTCCCCCCGCCCCCCCGAGTGCACAAATTTTTGTGCACCAGGCCTCTAGTTACTGTATATACTTAGAAACGCAAGCGTAAACTATCTTTGGAATATAAAAAACTGCTAACAGTGGTTGACCTTGGATAAGCATTAGGATTGGGAGACTTACTTTTCACCATGTATACATATGCCCTGGTACTGTTTGATTTTTTAACATGTGTTTAAACAATACACGGACCTGATCTGAAAACTGAGTGGTTCCTAACCTTTTTAGGCATTATGGATCCCTTGATGACAACTATAATATTTCACCCAAGAAAATACATACAGATGCTCACACACAAAATGCTGCACAATTTTGTACTTTAGCTGGAATTCAGAATCTTCTACTTTAAGTTTGCTGATGGACATACTGCTTTCTATGAACAAAAAATGGATTGGGAAATTTAGCTCTAGCAAACCTCTTTCCACTGCAGGGCTGTTTTTGTCTGGTTCACACAGTGCACACATTTCTGTCTTAATTTGGTGAAACTGAAACCTCGGGAAGGTGACAGTTGAAACCTTGTTTGCCAGCTACAGAGAAACCAGAGGAATTGTCCCGCATTCACACTATTAGGTTGCCTGTATTTCAGCTGAAGTCTAGAGCCACAAACCTCCAAAATGACTGATATGGCTGAGTATTTATTCTATGACATTGTTTCTCAGAGTATATAGCATGCAATGCTTTTAATGGCTAGACCAGAAAACAGACTTTGTGTTCAAATATATTTTAGAAAATGTCAGTTTAAATATTAATTGCTAACACTATGTGTCAAGAATTATTCTGAACACTTAATAGGGTTCCATCACCTGCCCAGAGTTAGTGTCAAAGTTAACCAGTTTCCTTTACTTCAGGATTTTGCCAAACTTATTTTCTTTTTCATCTTCACCGGAGTATATTTTTCCATTGATTTTTAGAGAGAGAGTGGAAGAAAGGAAAAGACAGAGAGAAATATCGATGCGAGAGAAACACATCTATTGGTTGCCTTCTGCACATGCCACGTCCAGGACCCAGGCGGGAGAGGAGCCTGCCCTTGATTGGAATCTAACCTGGGACCCTTCAGTCCACAGGCCGACCCTCTATCCACTGAGCCAAACTGCCTAGGGCTTGCCAAACTTTTAATATGATCATGTGATTTAATGCTTCATAGAGGAGACATGAGGTATTTTTTTTGAATTTATTTGACCCTAGAATCTCCTGCCTCATTCCCAACACCCATAGAATTTGTTCTGTGGAGCATTCTTTATATATAT